AGAAAGGGTTTGTTTATAAAAACAATGGCCAGGCTGTCCCTAGAGTGATGTCTGTAGAGTCAGGCCTCTCCAGGTTGGCACTGCAGCCCTGAGGTTCTGAGTCCTATCCTGTCTTCTGTTCCCAGCCCCTACTCACACTTGGTAAGAGGGGAGGTACAATGAGGAAGAGAGGCGTAAGAATGACCCAGCCTTCTTAGAACTTGCCTGCGTGCTGATAGCACAGTGGCTATCAGAAACTGCTCCCTGAGAAGCGAAAGTTTCTTTTTTTTTTTTAAGTTTTTGGAGAGATTTTTTTTTTTGCTATAAGGCATGTGTGCTCACCAGAGAAACAGAGAGAGACAGAAAGCGAGAAATCACTTCCCCAGAGGTGAAGGTCACACCACAATCACTTCTTCTCCATTCTCCTCTTGGGATCTTGGTGCACAAGTGCCTGGCATGAGCTTTTAAAACCACTGGTTCTGGGACTTGAACCTCGGTCAACTCCGTGGGAGTCCAACAATGAAGCATTATGCCATCTTCTAGTCCAGAAAAGCGCAAGTTTCAACATGAGCACTGTAGAGAGCTGACAGCACTTAGGGCTGATCTGTCAGTGCTGGTCCTGCCCTTTTTAGTCCAGACCCTTGGGCCTCAAAGGCCCTGGACATTCACTGCCTCCAGCTGTGGGTTCCTTGGAATGGATGACCAAAACCTGAATATGGGTTCAAAAATGAACTTTAGGGCCTTAGGATCACTCCTATGGAGAGAATAAAATTATCCCAGTCTGCCTCTAAAATATCTGAAAACAATTCATGTATTCACTCAACAAACATGTCTTGAACATCTACTATTAGGTTCTGTGCTATGTACTAATCACAACTATAAATTTATTATTCATTTATTTCTTCCATGAGCAAGAAAGGAGAGAGACAGAAAGCACTCTCAATGGGGTCCTGACACTGTGATCCATCCCAGCCTTCAGCCAGCCCCCTGTTCAGCCAGTTGGACAGTCATGCATGTCCAGCACACTCAGGGGGGTCTCCAGAGGTGAACCTGGAACCACCCCAGCCCTGCCACATGGATCACCTCAGAGAGTTGCATTTGAGTGCTGCTCCACTGTACTGTGGCCATGTGTTGTGTATTGACTCAGTGCTAGAGTGCAGGCTCCGAAACCAAAGGAGCTATGGTCTTATTGGGTCCTGGATACCAGCCTAGTGACTTGCACGGAACTACTCAAAACTCACGTGGGGTAGAAATGGGAATAGGAAAGAGGAGATATTGTGAAAATAAATATTTGCTGAGGGTCGACTTGTACCAGGTACAGTTCTAGATGTGGAGGATACAGCTCAGTGAATAGAACAGACAAAAGCCCTCATCTCAAGTATCTTACCTTCTAGTGGGCTGAAGAGGAGACTGGGAGATTAAAAATACAATAAATGACTAAACAGTACAGTATGCAAAATGAAAGTGGGTCCTTGAAAAAGATTAAGAGAGACGTGAGGGTTGCAGGATGGGGGGGTTGACATTTACGGTGGAAAGGATCACTGAGAAGAAAGTTTTGTGCAAAACCTTGAGGTAATGTAGGAGCAAATCACATGGCCAGCAAAAGAACATTTTCTGAGGATCAAACCCCTGAGGTGGAGCACACTGAGGTCTGTGGCCAGTGTGGCTGGGACCCAGTGAGCACAAGGGAGGGAGAAGGAAGGGCAGTCCTGGGGACCTGGTCACAAAGACCATAGTAAACACATGGTGTTCACACAGCAGAAAATGAGAAGGCTTGGAATACTTCCACAAAGCTGAAGAGGGTTATGACATCAATATTTTGCATATTAAATTCTTCTGTAGGTATTTTTTTTTAGAGAGATTTTTGCAACAAGATGCATATGCTCACTGGAGAGACAGAGAGACAGAAAGTGAGAAATCATTCCCCAAGATGGATGGCCATGCCGCAATCCCTTTTCTTCCCTTGTCCTCCTAGGATATTGGGCACGCATGCACAAGTGTCTGGCTTGAGTTTGAAACCACGGGTTCTGGGACTCAAACCATTGTTGGCCATGTGGGAGTCCAGCAACATAACCATTATGTCATTTGCTGGTCCCTTCCTGCAGATAATTTTTTTTTAAATATTTCACCATCAGGACTAGGGAATGGCATAATGGTTACATCATTGGACTCCCACGTAGTCAACCACAGTTAAAGTCCTGGACTCGGCACGTAAACTCACACTGGGTGCATGGGCATGCATGCTCAAAATTCCTAGAGGAGAATGGAGGAGAAGGAATTGTGGTGTGACCATCCACTCTGGGGAGGAGGGGTGATTTCTTGCAATCACAAGAAACATCAGATAAATCTAGATTAAGGAAACTTCTACGAAACACCTGGCTTATATATACTGAAAGAAAGAGAAATACAGCAAAAGTGATCGAATGTTGTCTGGTGAATCTAAATAAAGGAAATACACGAATCTTTGTACTATCCTTGCAACTACTCAGGAAATTTGCAATTATTTCAAACTAAAAACAAAAACTTTTTAAGGGAGAGATTTTTGCTATAGTGCACATGTGCTTGCTGGAGAAACAGAGAGAGACAGAGAGTCAGAAAGTGAGAAATCACCCCGCAGGGGGGATGGTCACACTGCCATCCCGTCTCCATTCTCCTCTCAGAATTTTGGGCATGCATGCACACTTGCATGGCATGAGTTTGAAGCCACCAGGTCTGGGACTCAAACCATGGTTGACTATGTGGGAGTCTAACAATGTAACCATTATGCCATCTGCTGGTCCCTCAAACTAAAAAAATTTAAAATTTAAACAGAGTCACTTCAGTCAGCTCCCACCAAGCCAGTCCCACAGGACATATGTTTGGAGGGGGGGGAAAGTTCACAGAAAAATAGACCCAAAGTACAAGTTATTCTGGTGCAAAATTTTTTTTAATTCATGCATATTTTTCTTTTCTTTTCTTTTCTTTTCTTTTGTTTCTTTTTTTTCTTTTTTTCTTTTTTTCTTTTTTTTTGGCCAGAGGGCACACATGCTCACAAAAGAGAGACATATACAGGCAGAGGGCACACATGCTCACAAAAGAGAGACACATACAGGGAGAAAGAGGAAGAGAGAGGGAAAGTAAGAAAACACCCACCCAGGCCATGGTCACACTGCAATCCCTTCTCCATCTTATCCTCCTATTAGAATTTTGGGCATGCATGCACATACCTCTGGCATGTTTCTCAAGCCCCTGCATATAGAAACCAAACTGTGCAGTTAACCATGTGAGATCCAGTTGCCTTAACCACTACACCACGGGCTGGCTCCATGTTTTTTCAGTACATTTTCCATGAACATTTTATCTCATAGATAGAGAAAAGCCCCAGAAGGCCAAAACTCATCCCTCCAAGTGCCCAAGGAATCCTTGATCAGCTTCACTCTGCAGGAGGCCAACACAGCCATGAACAGGGATGGGGCTGAGCCTGGGTTGGGGATGGAGGAGCGCATTGCTCCAGGCTTGTAAGCTCATAAGCTCAGGGTCAGCCTCATCTTTCTGTCACTCTCTATCCCCAATCCCATCAGTCTTATTTCAGTTTGAGGTTACTTAGTCCAAGTCACAACCTAGTTAGGACTAGCCCAGAGTCCTGAGTGTGGGGTCTCACCAGCCCCAAACTCCAGACCTCCCTTTCTATTCCTTTCCTCAGCACACTCTGCCTGTATTCCTTACACATGTCGGATCCTCCTGAGCCTGGACTGTGTCTTCATGAAGAACACAAATGTGCTCAGGGGCTTGGTGCCTACACTAAGGGCCAGGGAAGGCACTTTATTCCATATCAATCTTCTAACAGCCCTGGACAAACACTGCCCTGTGATTCAGTTTCATCCCTTTGTAGCCAGTGTATGCCCTCCTCTCATTCTACTCCCACCCAAAAAGCTCCTTGTGGAGTTGCTAATAGAAAATACAGTGTCTAGGCCAGCCCGTAACACAGTAGTTACATCCTGCACAGATAAAGCAGAATCTCACATGGCCAACCAAGGTTCAAGTCCTAGATCAGGAGGTTTGAGAAACATGCTAGGCATGTGTGCACTACCCAGGATCCTGATGGGATGGAAAACTGGAAGAGAAAGATCTGTGGTGTGACCAGGTGCCATTGGGGTATTGCTTCTTGTCTCTCTCTCTCACTCCCTCTCTCAGTCTCATATGTGTGGTATTAAAAAAAAAAAGAATGAGGAGGTGGGGGAGAAAAGAGAAGGAAGGGAGAGGAAGGTAGAAAGGAAAAAAAGAGAGAAGAAAAAGAAAAGTGATGGGTGGGAAGGGTAAGGTGAGGAGAAGGGAGGAGAGGCAAGATGAGAGGAGAGAAAAGAAGAAAGGAAAAGGAAGAAAGGGAAGGGAAGGGAAGGGAAGGGAAGGGAAGGGAAGGGAAGGGAAGGGAAGGGAAGGGAAAAGACAGGATCCAAGTCTCAGAGCACCCTGGGCTCCAGAAAGAGAGTTGCAGCCTTCAGCTGAGATCCCCGAGGAAACAATAGCTGGCTTGGCACCCTGCCTTCAGCTTTGGGCTTGGTGTGGAGTTTCCCACCGCTGTCTCTCCCTTCCACCCCAAGTCAGCATTTCCCTACTACTTCCCAGGCTCTTGTGACCCCTGTGTTGCTGGGGAAGCTGAGATGTGGGAACAGGACATGCAGATAAAGCCTCTGTCCCCCTCTGATCACATCCCTCCTATGAGTAGCTAAAGATCCACCTGTCTGTCTCTGAGCTCATCCTTGGGGCTGCTACTGTTTCCTCAGAGCTTCACAGGAAAGTCAATGGAAGCAGTGGGGAAGAGTCTCAGGGCCAGGGCTGCCTGAAGTGCTGATAGCAGGGCCAGATGCCCCTCTTGAGGACCTCTTGACCAATTACCGATTTGTCCTGATGGATCTGAAACTGCTCAGAGTCACAGTTCCATGTGGCCACATAAACAGCATGACCTAGAATCTCTGGGCTCTGCTTTAGGGCTAGTTCATGGGAGCTCCTCTCCACCCCTCCCCCAGGCTAAGCCTCCTTACCTTGTCCCTGATACCCCTCGAGGAGAAGGAACAGGAGGGTGACCGCTCTCTTCAATATCCCACAGCACAGGGTTGGGGTGCTCTGGTGACCCCTGTTCCCCATCACTCTCTGCCCCGCAGCGCACAAGCTCAGCAACCACCAGTCAGCAGGAGGTAGCAGGGGAGCAGAACTGCCTGGCGGCCTGTCCAGCCACAATTTCCTCAACTCGAGGCTGTTCACTTCTGCTGCAAGCTGACAAGGCCGCTGAGAAAGCCCCAGGCCCTGGACTTCATCTGAAGGTTCTCACAACTGAGCTTGTGAAGTTTGCCTCAAGTGGGCGGGTACTTGGAACACAGTGACTCACCAAACCAGCTTCTGCCTCTCAGGCCTTGCTCTGCTCCACCCCAGCTGCTTCATTCAAAGGGCAAAGAGATGCCTGAGGAACTTTCCCGTTCTCGCCCTGTCACTGGCAATATGGAGAGGCCTCAGGGAGACCAAAGAGCCTTTATCCCAGATTGTCCCTTCTGACAGAGGTTGGATGAGAGAGGGTCTGGAGAGGATGTGGGCTGAGGCGCAGAACCCAAATGAGCAAGCTATAATATTGAAGTACAGGAGGATTAGCTGGAGGGGACATAGGAAGAAACCTGAGAATTGGGGGACATTAGAAAAGTCTAACATTCTTGGGAACCAGCAGTTAGCGTAATGGCTATGTCACTGGACTCCCACGTAGTCGACCGTGGTTCGCGTCCGGTGGCTTAAAACACACAGGTCGTGTGTGCACGCATGCCCAAGATCCCGAGAGGAGAATGGAGGAGAAGGAATTGCGGCGTGACCATCTCCCTGGGGGGTGATTTCTTGCTTTCTGTCTCTATGTCTCTCTCTGTCTGTCTGGCGAGCACACGCGCCCTATAGCGGAAACCTCTCCAAAAATTAAAAAAAAAAAAAAAAAAAGAAAGAAAGAAAAGTCTAACATTCTTTGCAATTAGATACCAGAGTTCAAGCACATGCAAATTAGATTTTTTTTTCACACGAATTTGGTTTTGCTCCAAGTTTCCCTCTGTACTTCTGTATCCCCTCCCTTCCTCTTTAGCTACTTTTCTGCAGCAGCTCTCTTTCTTCTCTTGTCTTCTCCCATTTTTGCTACTTTTCCCATCCACACCTGAGATTCATCCAGTAGAAGGGCTAGGTATTTTTGGATTTTCTCAGGCCCCCGGAGAGGAGTGGTGGCAGTCACTCCTCCACCCCCAGAACACTTTCCTTCAAGCCCATGCCCCAGGTTCATGACCCTATTTTTCTTCTGCTTTCCCCTTAACAGCAAATACTTTCAGTTCTCTTCATGTTCCCCTTCTTCTCTTTTTCCATCTTTTGATCCATTTCCAGATAGCCTGTCTGAGCTGGGCAGGAGGGAGGCAGACTCACAGCCTTGATAGTGGTGCTGTTCCAGACAAGGCAGCAAACGGAATCAAAGACTTGGACTTGAGCTCTAGCTTAGCAAATGCCAGCCTGTGAGATCCTGGCTAAGTTACTCCATAAGTCAGTGGAATCAACACTTGACCTCCCTTCTTTGTGAAATAGTTTTCAGCATCAAATAACAACTGTAACTGAGAGTATGCATGTAGAACTCCTGTGCTATGGTCTGAATATGGGTCTTATCTGCCCACAATTCATTTGTTGAAATCTAATCACCAATGTGATGGTGTTTGCAAGTAGAGCCTTTGAGGATATAATCAGGTCATGCTTGTTCATTCCTGCCACCAGGTGCAAACACCACAAGAAGTCACCAGTCTGGAACCTGACCATGCTGGCACCCTGATCTTGGTCTTAGCAGCCTCCAAAACTGTGAGAGATAATTAAGCTTTCTATGCTCCCTAGCTCATGGTTATTTTGTTATAGCAGCCCAAATTCACATCATGTTAGAGCAGCCCAATTCACAGTGTGGGTCATCTCAAAATTTCAGTAGAAAGAACTGCTATTCCTGGCTTCTGTGTGGAGAACTAGCTCTGACAATGCAGAGGACTGGAAGCTACTTCTCTGACACTAGCAATACAGTTCAGGAAGCCAGAACTCTGCCTGGTGGTGGGACCATGCTAAAATGTGGCACACCATGAGGCTGTCCCATGTGAGAAGGTTTCAGGTTTGTGTCCCGAGACCTCCCTCAGTACACTGGACACACACGTGCCCAAGATTCAGGGCTGGTGGGGATAGACTGCAGCATCAAGATCCTGTTGGGGTGTGTGCTCACTCTCTCTTTCTCTCTCTCTCAAAAGAAAAAAATACAGTTGAAAAGTTTTGTTTTAAAAAATAAATTGAGAAGCCAGCCCTGTGCCTCAGCAAGAGAGCTGCATCCCTTGCTGTAAATGTGGCCCACCAAGATCAAATCCTACCCCCAGTGACTTGAAAAACACAATGGGTATGGGAGAGCAGGCACGTGGTATGGTGGTTAAGGCAGCTGAAATCCATATGGACAACTGCATGGTTGGGGTGCTGAACTCAGCAACTTGAAAAACATACCAAGCACATGTGCGTGCATGCCCAAAATCCTGAGAGGAGAATGGAGAAGAGATTGTGGTATGGCCAACCCCATTAGATGTGTTTTCTCATTTTTCCTCTCCTCCCCCACCACCCTTCTTCTCTCTCTCTCCACCCTTCCTCTCTCTCTCTCACCCCTCCAAAACCCCACATAATCAGCTATGACTTGAATCCCAGTTCCTGGTGGCTTGAAAAACACCCTGGGCACATGTGAGCGTTTATCCAAAATCCCAACATTATGGAGTAATGGAAGAGAAGGGATTGTGGTGTTACCACACCCTACTGGAGGATGCTTTCTTCCTCTCTCTTTCTCTCTCTCAAGCATATGTTTCCTCTGACAGAGAGAGAAGGAAAGCGCGAGAAATTATTCCCCCACAGAGGAGATGGTCACACCACAATTCCTTCTCTTCCATTCTCCTCTCAGGATTCTTGGCATGCATGCACACACATCCAACATGATTTTCAAGCCAAAGAGGCCAGGACTCTAATCATAGAGTCAGCCATGTGGGATCCAGTGCTTTAACCACCAAACAATACGCTAGCATAATAAATTTTCTTTTAAATAAAGAATAAAAATTTAAAATTTTTGAGGCTTCAATGATACGGTAATTTGTGTAAGTCAACATTCTCTTTCATTTTTTAAGTTATGCTACATTGACTCCTCTAAAACCAAGTGCACGCGATCAAAATTTATTATTGTAATTATTACTTTTATTTTTTTTGGAGAGGTTTTTGCTATAGGGCGCATGCGCTTGCCAGACAGACAGACAGAGACAGAGAGATAGAAAGCATGAAATCACCCCCCAGGGGGGATGGCCACACCGCAATCCCTTCTCCTCCATCCTCCTCTCGGTATCTTGGGCACACACGCACACGCGCCCAGCGTGAGTTCAAGCCGCCGGGTCCAGGACTTGAACAGCGGTCAACTACATGGGAGTCTAGCGACATAGCCATTATGCTAACAGCTGGTTCACAAATTTATTATTGTAATTAGATAAAACTTACAACCACGTTGTCATTTTAATGATATAAGCATTCACAATTGACTATAAATAAAATTATCTTGACATGACAAAACTCCACTCTGAAAGATTTTTATTGTATTTCATGTTGCTGTTTATCTGTCATATAGAATTTATGTAAGAGCTGACAGCTTTCCTGATTCCATGTGTGGTTAAATCTACAATATGGGTCAGAGGTGCCCGCACATCCAGGCAGAGAACATGAAGAAAATGAGCCTAGATCTGACTTCCTGTTCTTCTATGAGTTCCCCTTCCTCTTCCCTCATCCCCACCCTATCCCACCTCCCCACCCTATTCTACCTCCTTATATGGCTTTCCTGCAGAGCTCTGACACATCTTCTCCTGCTAGTTGCCTCCATAGTGTCCCTTGGCACTTTTGTGTGCTTCCTCTTGTGAGAACAGGGCCTTTGTGGCCCACAGGGTTTGGCCTCTCCTTTCTCCACTCTCTTCACTGATACTTCATTCCGGCTTTCTCTTCTAGCTAGAATGATCCAGCACATATACAAGCAGAAAGTTTATGACAGAAAGTCATGTGCCCTTTAGACAGAAGGTCTAATGAAATATCAGCTCCATTCCAATAGGTATATTCTATTTGTTTATTTTAATTGCCACAGAGCACATGGGCTCACCAGACAGAACAAGAAGGCAACCCCCAATGGGGTGTGGTCATGCCACAATACCTTTTTCTCTAGCCCATCAAGATTTGGGACACACACACACACACACACACAGGCACTTGGCATGTTTTTCAAAGCACCAGGGCTGCAATTTGAACTGCAATTGGTCATATGGTATCTAGATACCAACACACAGGGCTTATCTGCTGTGCCATACAGCCAGTCTTCTACTGCCTTTCATTAAGTACTATATATTGATTCTCTCTCCTTCTCTCATGAGCACATCTACCCTATGGAAATAAAGACAGGAAGCAAGGAAAAGAGGGAGGAGCAAGAGAATGGAATTTCTGATTTTTCTATCATTTTAACCATTTATGGTTTTCCAAGACTTTCTGGAGCTTTATCAGTCTTACAAAGAGTAAAATCTAAGGGGTCCTGCACAGAGGAAACTGTGCAGAGAAGTCATAAAAGAGAATCCAATACTGTGAAGGTTTTGTCCTGTGCTTTATTTTAAGTTTCATAGTTTGAAATTTTACATTTAGGTCGTGGACCTATTCAGAGTTAGTTTTTATATGTAGTGTTAGGTTAGTGCCCAACTTCATTCTTTTGCATATGAATATCCAGTTTTCCCAGCACCATGTGTTGACAAGACTGCCCTTTCCCCAATGAATGGTCTTGGAAACCTTGTCAAAAATCATTTGACTGCTTGTCATATAGCAGGCCACTTGTGGCTGGAGGTTGTATGGCAGAAACCCATGGCTCATCCCCTCCCCTATTCACCTTTGAACTCTCTGGTGTGTTGCTGGAGATTTTGAGAAGACCTTGTGACCCTCCCTGCCCCATCCAGACATTTGTTCCTGCATGGGGAGACTGAGTTGCAAAAAGACTGTGGCTTATCCCTGGCAACATGCCTCTGAATTCTGATTTCAGTGTTTTCTGAAGTGTGCGGTGTGCATTGTGTGCCCTGTGACCCTTTCTATTTTCCTGAATTAAAGCTCAGCGCTCAGTCTCAAGCACACCTATTCTCTAAAAACTGGAAAATATTTAAACCATCCAAGACCAGTGTTAACAGTGCAGATTACTGGTGAGCATCAGGGAGGTAGAGCAGCAGAGAGATCGTCAGT